AACCGGGGGGGAAGCCAGCAGGGCGACAGCCGTGTCCTCTGCAACCCAGCCACGTGCTTGCCCTGGCCCTGCAGCTCCTCCTGGGCTCCCCATGGGCTGAGGTGGCCCTGTGGCCGTATTCTGCCCTGGCACTGCTCTCCCATGGAGGGGCAAGCTGCCGTTTCAGCCTGTTCGAGAAGGACTCAAAGCTTGCGGGGGGGGGACACCGAGCACTTGTGCACACCCAGGGAGGTGAAGGTGCGGGTTTGCTCTCTGTCCCCCAGTACCCCAGGGTCACCTCAGGGGTCCCTAACAGGTGTGGGACACTGCTGTCCCCAGTTTTGGGGTGCCTGCAGCAGGATACCCTGTCCCTGTGATCCCCCCCTGCAGCAGGGGATTTGCCAGGGGTGAGGATGCTCCTGCTGTAGCATCCCGCTCCTCTCCTTGGTGGCAGGGAGGCTTCGGTCCCTGCTCCCCCTCTTCTGGGACAGGGAAAGGGGTCAAGGCCACGGCAAGACAGGCAGCCGACCCTTTGCCAGTCACCCAGCTGGATCATGGTGTTTGTGTGTATTTATTATTTTTTTTTTTTTCCCCCTGAAGAAACAGGGAGAGAAAAATATCTCTCTGTCCAAAATCACTCATCCTTCCTCATAATGAGAGCTGTCACCAGCCCTGCTTGGCGAGGAAATGATGCTCGCAGTAAATATTTGGTCTGGAACTGATTTATGGGTGGAAAAAAATGAGATTAGTGGTTAATCACTGCGTTGCAGGAAGCGCTTTGGGCCAAGTGCCGGGGCCGAGCTCGCAGGGAACTGGGGCCATGCCCGCGCCGGGGGACCTGCCCTGGGGGCTTTGGCGGAGACGTCGTGGTCGTGCTGCTGGGTTGGGATCAAGCGGCAACGACGGAGGGGTTGGACCAGCTCTGGGGGACACCAGGCTTCTCCTCACCTTGGTGCTTTGCACATTTGCTTTAAAGACTTGGGGCTTAGAGTCAGGGGCAGCTCAGGTCCCCCCGGCAGGGCATCGCCCGGGGCCGGTGCATCGGACCCCCATGGGCTCCAAGCCAGGAGGGTTGTGCTGTTGGCCCCGGCTGGAGGCAATCATCCGCCCCATCCCTGAGCCCAGCGCACCCAAAGAAGTCGTTACAGCCACCCTCGAGGCGGCAGCAGCTTTTCCTGTGCGAGGAAACAATGAGCTTATTAGAGGGCGGTTTAATTTTCTTCTGCTGAAGCGGGCTGGTGAGTGCGGCACGATCGTTTCCTATCGTCTGGCAGGGCCAGATGCCCCTGGGCGTTGCCGGGGCATGGGGCAGCGGGAGGTGCGTGGCCCCGGGGAGGATGGCTCGCCTGCGGGCAGGAGCGGGTGTCAACCAGAGATGCACCCGAGTTCGGACATTACTGGAGCGATGGCGGCAGAGCAGGACCCGGTGCCTGCGAATAAGTGTGTAGGTGTTTGCGGGAAAGCAGCTGTTGGACACAAAGAGGAAAGCTTCGAGAGGGAGCAGTGCCTGGGTTTATACCCTCCTGATTTCCACCGTACCAGTGGAAACTCGCGGCGCTGCCCGGCGTTGCGCGGCGCTGCCTGGCACTGCGTGCCATTGCACAGCTCTGGTTTGGTGTCAGGGCCAGATGCTCTAGGTTTCCCTCCCGGGCTGCGGCAGGATGGGCTCAGCCGCTGCTGTCGCGGCAGTGCCGTGATTTGCTCGCCTCTCCCTCTGCTCCCGCGTTGGTTTTGCCTTAATTATAACAATATAACAGGAATTGAAGGCAGCAGCTTGAATTAAAGGTTGTAATTCAGTTGTGCATCGGTGCTAACTGTGTCACCTGCGAGAAAACCATCTCCAGCCATTCGTGAGCTGCGCTGCTGGGAGGGCAGGGTGGTCCTTGAAGACCGTGAGCTGTCGCACTGCCCGCTCCGTGCTTGGATGGGGATCTCTGCCCCAAACCCTTCAAATCTCCAAAAGGGCTGAGCTGCCTTTCCCGGAGGCTGCTTTGGGGCAGGGCAGATGATGCTCCTCTCTGCCTCGCGCTGTTGCGATGTGGCCAGGGTGGGAGTGGCTGAGCCAGCAAGGCTTCGCCGTGCCAGGAACCTGCAGCCCAGCCCCTGCGAGCTGCCGGTGTCAGTCTCCGTTGCAAATCTTTCAGGTTTGTGTGCTGCTTTGGGCCCATCTGAGCCACCAAAGTGACGGCTGGTCCTTGTCGCGGCGCAAGGCAGGTGGAAAAATGGGCTGATGAGTGAGGGGTGGGTGTCTTGTACCCCCCTGCTCTGCAGCATTTCATTGCTGATGAACCTTCCCCAGTGCTTAGGGTTGTCCACACCACGGTCCTGTGCCTCGGTGAGGTGATCTCCAGGTTTCTGTTGGGGCCACTCACAGCGTTAGCCTTGGGTGACACGCTCTGCTACAGTCCACCCCTCAGTCATACACACCTGCTTGGGCCCTAAAATGGGTGTAGGTGACGTTAAATGACATTAAAATTGGAGCAGGTGCTGAGTGCTGGTGATCTGGGTGCCAGTGCCTCGCTCCCAGTAGGAAGGAGCCGGGACCAGCGCTGCTGTGACGCACAGACAGCAGCATCTCTCGAGCTTAGCAGCATCGCGAGTGCTTAAGTCCATTTTAGGTGCTGTAGCAAGCGGTCTGAATCTGCCCCGTAATCCCTCCATGCCTCTGTTTCCCCCATTTGAAGCAAGGCTGGTAGTAACGGCCGGTGTTTTGGGATGCGGATGAGCTCTGTGTGAAGGCTGCCTCGGAGAGCAAGCCTTACCCTGTGCTGGCAGCCTCTGAGCCGGTATAAAGAGGAGCCGTGATGGGCACAGCAGCACATCCAGCCCTCCTGGCCCCAGATGGGACAAGGCAGTTACCTGGGGTCTTGCGCGAAGCTGTTCAAGGGCTCGGACGTTACCGCAAGCAGGCCTTTTCACCATCAGCGAGGTCCACGCAGGCGGGTTTGCGTCGGAAATCTCTCGGGTTGGTGCACTGAGGGGTGATGCAGCCCTGCGGGGGGCTGGCGGGCAGTAGGTGATTTTGGGGTTGCAATAAGGCCCAGCAAGGCTGGGGGTGATGGGGCTTTTGGACCAACTGACCCTTTTCAGCCAGGTTTTGCAGGAGGAAGAGCTCTCGAATGCAATGTGTTCCTTAATGAAATTTGCCTTTTTTTGATGATGGGGAAGGATATAAAGTTCTTGTAGGGATATGGGTCTAATTATCACATAAGCTCACGGGGCCGTGCAGCGTCTCCTTGCACGAGCAGCCATCCTACGGATGCCACCAGTCCCTCGGTGCGTCACCCCTTCCTCCCCGCCTGTATTCAAATTCCCCCGCCCCCGATTTCTTGCCCTTTACTTTTCTCTCCTTTTTTCTTCTCCTCTTCCTTCCAGAGTCAAGAAGAAGAACAAGCCCTTGAACCTCAAGATCCATAACAGCGTGGGAAGCTGCGAGAACATCCCTGCGCAGCGCTCCCCGCTCCTCTCCGAGCGCTCCCTGCGCTCCTTCTTCGTGGGGTACCCGCCTTTCCTCCCCTCCACCCCTCCTGTCCACACCGAAGCCACCTTCTCAGCAAGTAAGTCCAAGTGGCCCCCTCAGGTCCCCCTTCCATGGGGTGGGTGATGGCTGATACCAAGCAGAGGATGTGACCGTGGGAAACCCGGGGCGTCTGCCTGTGCATCGATGGTCTGGAGGACGTTGGTCGAGTGTTGTGCAGTGAGCACAGCCCTCGGGCAGGTGCCTCGCATCAGTGTTTAGAGATATGTGGGTGCTTCTGGGCAAAGATAAACCTGGAAACTTGATTATATATGTCTGTATATATACAAAACCACTGTCATATTGAATATTGATTTATGCAACCAGATATGCTCCCCTATCGCAATAACACGGGTGCAGGAGGGTGGCCGCCGTCATTTGGGAAAGCCAAGAGCCTTTCCGTGCTGCCTGGGTTGGTGCCGCCGGCTGGCTGTCACTTGAGAGTGACTTTTCCAAGGGCTCCTTTTGTAAATCCAGCCGTGGTTTTACCTTCACGCACGGGGGCTGCTTTTCAGGCCTCTCCTGCTCGCAGGGTTTTGAGCCGATGCAGAGTCTCGGGTGAAGCCGGCCCCGACGCAGACAGCTCTGGTGCAAACCCAACGGAGCTTGACCCCAGCAGCCGGCCCCGATCCTGCCTGCGGGTCTGCCCGGGGTGGTTTGCCCTCTTCCAGGAGATGCTGGTGGTGGGACTCGATGGGGGGGTTTGGGTCGATGAGCTCACCCAGCGCGTTGCTGCTGGCTGGGGAGAAACAGCCTGACCCTTATTTCCCAATCTCGGACCGGTGCCCTGATTAATTCTGCAGGAATTGAAGCTTTTACAAGCCAGGTGTGGCTCTCAGCCTAAACAAAACCCTCCCAGAAAACACGTGGCAGCTGCTGGGAGCTATTTGCACGCCAAGAGCTGTCGTGGGGAGGGCGAGCTCCCCTTGCCTCTTGTTGCTCAGCTAAAAACTTCCTCCAACTCCATATCCAGGCTGGCTTTTTGCCACCTTCCCCTCCCCAGACTTTTCCCTTGTTTGCTTTCCCAAAACGTGGTCTTTTTGGCTCGTTTTGGGTTTTTCCAGTTGTTCTTACTGCTTGGCTCTTGGCTGAAGAAGGGGTTTGCAGGCAACACCCCTCCCTGCCCATCCAGCCCCCCAGCACCGGCAGGTTTTCCTCCATGCCGTACTTCTCACCGGGGTGGGAAGTAGGACCAGGACAGCTTCACCGTCTGCCCTGAGCACTGGTTTGCAGGCGCTGGGTGCCGGTGTGATGGGGCAGCTCCTTCGCCCTGCTTGCATCCCCGCAGCCATGCCTCTCCCAGCCCCCTGCAAGGCAAAAACCTTGCAATTTCCTTCTTTCCTTCTCCTTTCTTTCCTTCTCCTTTCTTTCCTTCTCCTTTCTTTCCTTCTCCTTTCTTTCCTTCTCCTTTCCTTCTTTCCTTCTTTTCTTCTTCTTTCCTTTCTTCTTTCTTTCTTACCAATCAGCTGCTCTTTGGGATCACTGAAGAATCATCGAGCCATTTCTGGCATCCTTTTGCTCCCCTTTCTTTGGCTTTGGGGACAGTGGGACCTGGCAGGAGCTCTGCGGGCAGGTGATATTATTTCTAGAGATGTCCAACCACCCGACTCTCGCTGGCACAGCCAGCAGATTTGCCTGGAGCGAGGGGTATTTTTGCATTGCTATTTCCCCCGTGGCATCGGCTGAGTTCAACTTGCAGTCCAGAACGATGGGGACTAGCAGACCAGAAACCAAGAAATAAAGCCCGTTCTCAGCAAACCCCCGCCGTGTCTAGTTGCATTAGGTTTCCCCACGCATCAGCGTTGGATTACATCCCGTGGTGTGATAACCTGATGTAATGTGGCATCGCAGGAATGTGATGTAATGAGAAGTGATGGGCTATCAAGTGACTAACGCTGCTGGAGAGGTGTCTCTTCTCATTTCCCTCGGCCCTCCAACTTTCTTGGCTGCTGTAAATGTTTGTTTTCTGGGCTAGACATGAGCCGTGGAGAGAGGGGCTTGGTTGCACCAGCTGGTTGATCCCTGCTGAAAGGTTTTAGCATCAGTGAAACCATTTGGTCCTTGCAGGATCAGCGTCCATGCACTCAGTGACTCTCGCTCCTGCGGACCTGCGGGGAAAATTTGATGCAAGGCGAAAAAAAATCCCACTAGACTGTAGTTTTTCTAGCCCTCTTGTGTTTCCGCATCATTTCTGTACCGGTGGCCTTATCCTCGAGTTGCATCCCGGGTTTCTGTCTGCTTCCAAGCTTGCTTTCCGGTTTGCAACTGTGTGGGAAGAGTGGCCGCATCCTGCGTGTGGCAGCCGGGGGCTGAGCGTGCCCCCGTGGGGAGAGAGATGGGGTTTAATGGAGCTTGACACCAGGGTTTGTTAACTTGCGGAGAGAAGATGAGTTATGCCAAGCGGTGCGGAGGCAGAGTTATTTATAGGGAGGAGCAGATATCTCTGCAGCTTTCCCCATGCCCCGCGTTGCTGTTACGGGACCTGGGTGGCTTCTCCCCGCTCCGGTACACGGTGCTTTGCGTGTCCTCGGGTCCCCGGCTCTCCTCTCGCTGCCGTTCTCGCTGGTCCAAAGTAGCAGGGCTTGTAGGTCCTATGAGAGGCGCTGATTGTGGTTTGGGGCTCACACCTCGTCCCATCTCCTGCGGTGCCACTGTTTCTCGTTGCTTTTTAAGTGGAATGGGTTTCCCGTGCGCTGCTGGATGAGCTCCATGGGGCTCACCAAGGGTGTGAGCCACTGCATCATGCCCACCCCGCATCCCAAGGACCTCCCTCTCCCCATCCTTGTGGCACGGATGCAGTTTGGCAGCCAAGTTCTCCACAATAACCCATCCCTATGACCATGGGTACCTAAGCTTTCATAAAACCCCAACAGAAAAATGCCTTTTCCCTTTTTCTCTTGGGGGATCAGCACAGCAGCACCTGGGATGCTCTGGATTGGTGTGGAATTACTTCCCTAAGCAGTGAAACAAAAAAATGTTGCTGTTGTCAAATTGAGATGCAGGAGAGGAGCCCGGCGAGCCCTTGGCGAGACCCCTCTTTCCCCGGCTGTCTCTCGATGGTCTCTTTTCAACAGCCAGCGCGTCTTGCTGCTTGTGGCAGGAGCGTGCTCCCATCTGAATCATCTCTGGTCCTGACTGGATGCGGGTTAGGATGCTTCTTTCTTATTTTTAACAGCCAATTTGCCCTGATGGGAATGGATTTTCACAGACGTGGAGCGAGAGCACGAGGGCTGGCAGCAAGCTGCAGAAGGACCCTCTTTCTCCTGCAGCACAAATCTTGCTGGAGGGGTGAAGTCCCCTTCACGCAGGGCCAGGATCCCTGTGAATTTTGGTTTTGAATTGATTTTTCGTTAGCAGCCCTTGGAGGGGAAGCAGAAGGGGGAAAGTAAAGACTTTTGGGGTGCCCTTGAACTCTAGCTTGGCCCTGAAATAGCCCAGCCCTGTGACTGAGGGACAGAAGATGGTTTGTCTGGCTGCACCCAGGACCCTCTCTTGGTGCATCTGCTCATTCCTGGCGAACAAGTGACCGCCAGGGACGTGTTGTTACTTTGAAATAGGATTTAGGACTCGACACCCCATGACTTGGCTACAAGCACCCAGAAATCAGGTTGGATCTTCTCCTTTTTATTGTAAAGGCTCATGTCTAGTAGGTCCTGTTTGTGTCTCTGTTATCTGGGTGTCTGGAGGTGGCTGGCATTGCTCCTGGACTGTGCCCTCTGCCTGTCCTCTCCCTGCTGCAAGGCCAGCCGGAGCACTGTCACCGTGTGCCTTCAGATCAGGTCACCTGCTTGATGTTCTCCAGCATGGGTCAACAACGTCGTTTCCATCCTGGACTATTTAAAACAAAAAGGGGTGAAAGGGAAGGACAAAAAAAAAGGCTGCGTGTGACTTTGCTGTGCTAGGACAGAAAAATGAGCACCTGGGCACGTGGCTGTGCGGGGAACGTCCTTGCTGCTGCCCTTCCTCCAGCTGGTGTCCAACCCTGCAGAAGGAAAGGAGCAGCCAATGCAACCCAATCCAAGACCTTGCGTGTACCAGGAGAGAAAAACCCATCGCCTGTCCCCAGTGGCCCACAAACTGAAGCTGCGTGTGAGGCCTCTTCATGCACGGGTGTTGCTGAACACCTTCCCACAACACACAGCGGAGAGGCTTTTTCTGTGGCCTGGGAGCAAGACAAGAGCCATGGAGCATCCCCTGGTACATGGAGTTATGAGCAGTGACCCCTTAAAGCTTTTGTCTTGTCCCTGGAGAGCCTATCAGGGCTGTTTTAATGTGGTCTCCAATAATGCCCACCTCCCCTCTGCATCAGCCCAGTCCTGTATGTCAGCTCCGTTGCATCCACAGTTGCCTTCGGTGCTGCTCTGGCCGTGTCCCTGGTGGGTCACTTCTCCTGGATCCCGGTCCTGGCTCTTCCTCTTGGCTTTGCGACCAAGGACTTTGCAGTTTATGGCACTGACCTTCTGCCCTGGGAAGCAGCCTGGCTGTGCCTACCTAGGGCTTGGGTGGCCAACCAGTGATGGCCAAGCAAGTGGCAAGAGCTGAGATGCCACCAGAAGGCTTTGTGCTTCCTCAGCCCTTGACCATCTGTGAAAGAGCCCTCTGAAGGGCTGGTGTTGGGTAGGTATGGCTGGCGGAGAGGGATTCAAGATAATGCCCGGTGGATCAAGCCCTGCGCTGGGAATTAGGGAGCCCTAAATCCAGCCTTTCTGCTGGAAAGGACCAGGCGGGACCCGAGAGCGTGATGCCAGCATTGAAGGTGCCGTGGGACACGCGTGCAAGCAGTCAGTGCCATTCAGACCATGGCCCCTCTCTGCAGGCATCCCGTCCCCGATGCCGGGGGTGGTTTCGTGGGAAGAGACTTCTCCTTAACACTGTCCCGGCCCAAACCGCCTTCAGCAGGGGACTTCCCAAGTGGGACATCCTTTCTTTGTGACCATCGGTGGTTTTCTTCTCCCTGAACCTGCCCTGCTGCCAGTACAAGCCATGGTACGAGCACTCCACGGCCGTGTTGGCAGCCCGGCTGGGAGCTCCGGAGCTGCAGCCCGCATCTGGCCGCAGCTGGCTGCCTCACCATCGGGCCGCTCCAGCTGGCAGCGAGGCACCGGAGGGTTTCCTACCCCGGCAGCACCGTGCAGAGCCAAAGAATGCAGCTTTGTCTGGGTAAGCCTAATTGACCCTGCAAGGCAGCAAACCAGGGGGGGGGAAAATCACAAAGCGAATATTTAAGCCAGCAAAGCAACCGAACATGATATTTCGGCTGTATAAATAGGATTGTCACGCTGCAAAGAGGAACTGCCAGGATTATAAAGTGACTCTGTTTTCGTACTAGAGAGATGCTATGAGGATAGCTCTGCCTTGTTTGGCTGCTTTGGATGATCCCCTCGGCAAGGGCTGAGGTTTTGTTTCAACCCACCGGATCATCCTTCCACCCGCAGCGGGGACGTCGCTGGGTTTGGACCTGGCTGTGATTGTGTACAGAATATTTGCCACGTGCACTAACGGAGGAGGCAGGTTGGCTCCCTTTTTAGCTTGAATCCTGCATGGATTTTATATCACCGGGGCGGGGGGGAACTGCTGCTGCTCCAAGTGTTGCTGCAGCTCCTTTGCTGCTGCAGCTGAGCTATTTGGGGATCTCTCCCATCCTATATCAAAATAGGCCCATTTAGGGCCTATTTTGGTCCTAAAACCAGCTAAAGCGAGGACCGAGGTGTCTCGTGGAGGGACTTTGCACCCTTGGGTGCACCCTTTGCTGCGGAGCAGCTTGCTGGTGCACTTGGCTCCCCAGTTGGGACCATGCGGGCAGTAATCTCTGCCAGCGTCCCCCATCGCCATCGTGATACGGCCCCTGGGCTGTGATTTCTGCCTGGGGATGGGGTGGTAGAGATACGCCTGATGCTGACCCTGTTGTGGTTGTCTTCTAGGTGGTTGTTGAACTGTTTCGGGAGGAGGCTGCACCCCGGTGTCTCCCCACAATCTCCCCAGGGGACTCAACTGCCTTGGGGCCGGCGCTGGGAGTGCTACGGTGGCTGCCTGGGGTAGATGTGGGTCTGTAGGACGTCTACAGACAAGTGCAAAGTCTCCTGGCCATTCCTCAGCCTCGCAGTGATTCATCCCGGGATGCTTTCCAAGTTCACTTCCATCGATTTTATCCGTCCCATTCATAATGCGAACATCGCCTGGCGCTGTTTACTGGAGGAGGAGGAGGAGGGTTTGTTTATAAGGCTGTCGCTGTGATGGGTAACACATTCACACCAATTCCCTGGGCATCCGGAAAGGTGCCAGGAGATGAAGAAGGGGGATATGCCAAAACACGGTCCCCATCGGTGTGCTTCAGCACAGTGGTCATGCTCTTGGGGTATTCGGTGAGGGTGTTGGGGCTTGCTGAGGCCATCGCTGCCCTCCTGATCTGCGCCCAGGAAGGGTGGAAACCCAAAATAAATGACATAGGGAAGCTCTGGCTGCTCTTCTCCATGCAGGAGATGCCCGGGCTCCCAGCGGGGAGCGAAGGGGAAACATCCGCACCAGCAGCCGAAAGGCACCAGGGAGCCGTCGGGATGGCAGCGGGGGCGAGGAGGGCGTCACGGCCAAGGCAGCATCCCGGTCCCCGTCACCTCTGAGGCACGCGGGTGCCACTCAGGGACCAGCGGCGGCTGTCACAGCTGCCTG